AGGCGATAAGTGATCGTATGAACAGAAGAACCCATATGGCATCTTCCAACACAAAACTATCAAATGTAATAATTCGTTTTTTAAATCTCATGTTTATAGTCAATACATGTATATTGATGCATCCCTATTTTAAAGTGAATCTGCTGTAATTGGAAAAAGCGAGTCTCACAGCTAAAGGTAATTATCACTAATTGGTCTGTGGAAATGATTACAGCAGTAACTTAGTTTACTCCATGCCCCAAAAACAAGAAGGGAGGAGAGAAACAAAAATAAACACTATTTACTGTTCACCGCTCCAATTGCCAATTATGCACGGTGGAAGTTAAAAGACTCCGCTGATGACCCCTGGCATCGTAATAAAAGAAGTGGAGGACTCTCATCTCGCTGATTTCATTAATATCAACTCATCTCTTACTTGTTTGCAATTAAACTGAAGAGCTGTGATTAAGGTGATGTTTCCGGTTTTTCTGTTATCATTTCATTTCTTTACTCACCTTTGTCTACACGTGCTTCACTTCCTGCCCTTGTGTGTTTAAGCCGTGTGATTACATTCGCTTCACCTGTCCCTCATTTCCCGTCTTCCCTTCTGTATTTAGTCTGAGCTTCCTCTGTTTGTGCATACTTTGCTGCAGCCTTAGATTCCTGAGACTCTCCAAGTGTTATTTGACTGTTTTTATATATCTCTGGCTTTGTGAAATGTTTACATGATTTAATGTTTGAAACCAGAGCCCAGTCTGTTCTGATTGGTTAGCTGGCCGGCTCTGTTGTGATTGGTCAACAGCTTAGACCCCATTTACACGCATACGCAACGCAAACTAACCGAATATGATATCAAAAAAGTATTCCGTTCACACGAGACCACTCGGGAGCGCTGGAGACGCTGTAGTACATATGCCGGGCCTGTAAGTGGCGCTGTACTTTCGCCACAAAATACACCAAAAGACCCCCAAGCATGGTTGCCATGGTTGCCCTTCTGTTGATGCCCCACGGTGGATTTAGCAACATGTAGTTCATGTAATTCTCCATGTCCACTTGTTGCTGATGGTTGTGGTAGAGGAGCTGTAGATTTTGCACTAACAGCTGTAGCATGGTCAGTAGCAGTAGCACTAGCAGTAGCTACTGACCATGCTACTGCAGTGAGCAGCAGAGGTGGGGAGAGGCGGGGCTATGGCTTCATCGTTATCAGGAAATAATCGTATAGGGCGTACACACGGAGCCGTTTGGCCCCCCAAAGCGTTCCGGTTGCAGATCTATCCACCTTGGGACCCGTTATTGTTTGCGGGGTCCGTTTCCGCGTTTCCGTTACGGCCTCGTGTGAACGAACGGGCTATACGAAAGAGAAAAGTAGCGGATACAACCGTTTGCGTTCTCGTGTAAACAGCACATTAGAGACGTCCCGCCCCTTAGCCTATCACGTACAATGTGTTGGAGCACTAGCCAATAGAAGAGCCAGTGTTACGTAGTGATGCCACTTTGTTCAGGAAGTAACTAAAGGAGTCCAATGGAGGCGTTTCAGGCAGGGGGGGGGGGGGGAGTGTGTGGGAGAGAAACTCACTCTGGAGGGAACACAGGGATTTTAGCCTTTGAAGACCATTTACATGCACTAAAACCTATATAACACACTACAGGGAAGGGAATAACCCAAAAGGAAAATAGGGCCTCTTTAAGTCCTCTATCTGCTGGTTGCTAGTTTTGAAAAGATGGATACTAAAATAGTTAAACAACGATTCCAACCTTAAATGTGTGAGATAGGACTGAGCAAAGTGACACACAAAGAGACCATCTCCATGCATACGTTCAGACGCTCTGTGTTTGCATGCTTGCGTATGGCAGTCAAGAAGACGAGCCAAGTGACTCACCTCCTGCCAGAAAATGAAGACATACAATTAACATCGTATCCCATCATCCTCAGCTGAGCGGGCAGGCCTGTAATTGGCTGGCTGACCAGCCTGCGTGGCTCCGGGTGGCAATTTATTCTGGGAGCCATGCAGTTTACCCAGGGCGGCTAACGGCCCCTGTGCCATAACCTGGCTGAGGCAGCGGGGACATCATTAACACTTCACTGGGCCTGCAGGACACACACACACACCATCACCCACTGTACACACACCCATCATCATCCACTGTACACACCACCCACTGCCACCATAGCACAGGGGCCAAATTGGAGGAACATGGTGGAAATAATCATCAGAATGTCAACGCGCCACTTGTAGTGAGTGTGTGTTTACTGATCGGCTGCAAATGAGGGTATTTACGGCATCTCCTGGTTAAGGAAGAGATTACCCGTTATTTTTATAATGACACAAAGGTTGTCCTTACCCTGAGTTGATGTGATTTGGGAATTCAGTCCCCGTTTTAGTAAAGACTAATGCCTGTATATAAGAAATGGATGGAGTTGTAGTGATTTGTAGCCAATTGGTTTGTGGTGTGCAGTTTTGAAGTCTCAATATTTGGTATTTTGGCCATCACAATCTTGTTTTTGTGGAACCAGGAGCAACCACAAGACAAGAGGATGGAGGTACGTACAACCGAACACTGAATGAGACATTTTGAGGCTACCAAAATGCTAAAATTAGCTTTCAAGATCCAAAAACACAGCGTGAAAGGTTTTGAAGTTGCAAGACAAAAACACGTAGGGCACCCAAACATGGACAATTCAATGTGGTAGCGACCTGTCAATCACAAGGAAGCCCC